CTGCAACGTTCAATCTACGGATTGAAACAAGCATCTCGGAGTTGGTACATACGTTTCGACGAAACCATTTCCAGTTTTGGTTTCAAGAAGAACTCTGACGAATCTTGTGTATACAAGAAGGTCAGTGGGAGTGTAATAGTATTCCTAATCTTGTATGTCGATGACATATTGTTAATGGGTAACGATATTCCCGCTCTCACTTCTGTAAAGACGTGGTTGAGCGAGAACTTCTCCATGAAAGACTTAGGGGATGCTAGTTATGTCTTTGGCATAAGAATCTACCGAGATAGATCAAGAAAGTTAATAGGTCTGAATCAAAGTACATATATAGATAAAATCCTTGATCGATTTAGCATGTCTAACTCAAAGAAAAGATCTTTACCTATGACACCCGGCACGGTTCTTTCTAAGAGCCAGAGTCCTTCTACTCCCGAGCAAAAGGAACTCATGATGAAGGTTCCATACGCCTCTGCGATTGGATCCATCATGTACGCCATGATATGTACTAGACCTGATGTCTCATTCGCTTTAAGCGTGACCAGCAGATACCAGGGAAGTCCAGGAGAAGCACACTGGACAGCGGTCAAAAACATCCTCAAGTATCTTCGCAATACTAAGGATGCATTCCTGGTATACGGTGGTGAGGAAGAGCTAAAGGTGGTCGGTTACACTGATGCTAGCTTCCAAACCAACAGAGACGATTCAAAATCACAAGCAGGATATTTGTTTTGCCTGAATGGTGGAGCTTTTAGTTGGAAGAGCTTTAAGGAAGATACAACCGCCGATTCGACTACAGAGGCTGAGTACATAGCTGCCGCCGAGGCAGCTAAAGAAGCTGTTTGGATCAAGAAGTTCATTACTGAACTTGGAGTGGTTCCTAGTATTAATGACCTTATCTCGTTGTTTTGCGACAACACTGGGGCCATTGCACAGGCAAAGGAACCGCGATCTCACCAGAAAACCAAACACATTGTACGACGCTATCACATCATACGAAAAATCGTAGATAGAGGAGATGTGATGATTTGCAAAGTAGATACTGACGACAACATAGCCGATCCCCTGACCAAGCCTTTAGGAAAGCTAAAGCATGAGGGTCACACTAGGTCCATGGGCATTAGACCGATGCCAGATTGGCCATAGTGCAAGTGGGAGATTGTTGGAGTTATGCCCTGATGGCCAACTGTTTATCGTTATTCTATCATGTATAGGCAGATATAATATGTTTACACATCTCATGCTAATGTAAACAAATATTATATTCCTAGATTTATATTTAAAAGATGTTTATCAGATAGTGTTTTTCTGCTGATGAGACTAACATCTTGAAATAAATATTTATCTAAATGTCCATAGTCGAGTATTAACGAGAGTGGGATATCGTTAATGCATGTGAGANGTGGTAGACTCCGGCGTTGTTCGTGTGTCAAAGTTGGAGACCGGACGCTTGAACGGTTACGTTTGCGCTTTCAACGCTCTTCCTACGACTTCTTCGTTTTACCGCTTACGGAGAAAAGGTACAAATTTCTTACTACTATAAGTTTTAGTACGTGATTCTGGGCAAGATAATCATGTTAGGATGTTAAAATTTTTATATTCCGCTGCCTATCCTTGCATGGTTACCTTTCACCCTCCTGGGTGTTACTCGGAATGCCCATATGATGTGCGGGAGCTCCTCTAGCCACTTGTTTCCTGCTTCTCCCAACCGTTTCTGTTGGCGTTTTCGACTTGGCCATTTCCTTGGGGGTACGCCACCGAAGAGCGATTGTGCTTGATCCCGAAGCCCTCCAAGTATTTGGTGAATCTTGGATTTCGGAATTGTGGGCCGTTGTCGGTGATGAGGTTCATGGGCGCCCCAAACCTCGTGACGATGTTCTTCCAAATGAATTTCTTACATTGCTGTGTGGTGATGTTGGCCAATGCTTCGGCCTCGATCCATTTGGTGAAGTAATCGATGACTACGATCACGAACTTCTTCCCTCCTTGGGCGACTGGGAATGCTCCGATGATGTCAACCCCGAATCTAGCGAATGGGATGACGGTTGATACGGGGTGATAGTAGGTCGCCGGTCTACCAGGATACTTGTAGAATACTTGGCACGTCCTGCATTTCTGAACGTATCTTTCACAATCCTGGAAAATTGTTGGCCAGTAATACCCCAACAAGATGATGCGTTGGGAAAGCGTACGGGACATTTGATGCGCCGCGCATACGCCTTCGTGTACCTCCGCTATGACTCGCTCAGCCTCCCGCTTGGTTAGACATCTCAGGAGTGGCCCCCCAAATGTGGGCGCACGTGGTCCTGTCCCCTTAGCCTAGTATAAATACTCATGTAAACCTTAGAAAGAGGGATCCAAATTGATTCTCTCTAAACTCCCTTGTAAAAGCACCCGTGCATTCTCCGTTATAATATAAATTGGGCTGCAGGTGTTCCACCTAAAGTCCTACCGGTCAATCTACGAGTTTTTGCCTTTCTTACTTTGCCAAATCAAGCGAACTATTCTAGACCCGGTCTAGTATAGTTTGACCGGTTAAGTAATTCACACCATCAGGGAGTAAACAAATTCCTTCTAATTTGATAAAGAAAAAGAGAGAATTATTCCATCTGTCCCACAAAATATTTCTTGTTTTGACTTTTAAGGAATTTAAGATGAGTATATTTTGACGTCGACTTTCGAAAAATATCCTTGAATGTGTGTAGAAATATTATTAGAACAAAACTTGAATGATTTGATTACACATAGATCTGCTATTTATAATAGCTGCAAGAGTATGACCTAATTACGAGCCCAACAAGAATGAGCCCATTAACGACAAACTCTCCTACATTTCTTAACACTCCCCCTCAAGTTGAGCATGAGATGAAGGAATGCACAACTTGGACAATTAAAACAAAACTAAGACTAAAAAAATTGATAAACAACTTGAACTTGATCTACTGTGACAACAACGAACGAAGGTCACCGGCCCTGCAAACGAACAATAAATTTTGATGATGAATGACTCCCAAGCGGTGACACGGGAACGACTAACAAGCATCCCAAACTTGGAGGCCGTGTTGCCGGACTGAGGCGCGACTATGCGACCAACCTCACAAACTGATATGTCGAACTGAGGCGCGACTATGCGACCAACCTCACAAACAAACATGTCGAACATACAGCTGGTTGCACTTGAACATACGAAATAGCAACCAAAAACAATGTCGCCAAAAACATCATCAAATTCCGATGACCGGTAGAGTGAACATAAAAACCTTCTTCCATGCACAACGAACAGAACCAAAGAAACACAAATAGCCAAACACTAGCCAATTGATTATAAATGACTCGCAGTGAATGAGTAGTTTGATGGCGGCTAGTTGAATGAAACTTTGAGGCGGCCAAATGAATGAAGCAATTCCTGCGAGACTATAACAGAGGCGATTGGCAACAAACGACGGAAGCTGATTGACAGATTTAATTGTCAGCAACGTGCGGCACCGCAAGATCTAGACAAAAAAAAGGATGGGAAAACAAGGTGAAGGGAAAAGATGTTGACGCCGCCGTCGCCAGACAAACCACCGGCGACGGCGACAGCGGAAGCAACAAAGTAGAGCAAACTAGGGTTTTGGACTTTTAGCTTCTCAGGTTGGCTCCGATACCATGTAGAAATATTATTAGAACAAAACTTGAATGATTTGATTACACATAGATCTGCTATTTATAATAGCTGCAAGACTATGACCTAATTACGAGCCCAACAAGAATGAGCCCATTAACGACAAACTCTCCTACATTTCTTAACAATGTGAAAAAGTGTGATGAGATAGGTAGTTTTAGAATTAATAAAGGTAAAAATGACTTTTTAATAAAAATAAAAAAAGTTATCTGGGACGGATGAAAAAAGAAAGGAGACAAGTTTTGTAGAAGGAAGAGAGTAATATTTTTTACTTTCTAATTCAACGTATCAACATACATAGTGTAAATATTCCAAAACAATGAAGAGTATAAATCAAATAAATTATGAAAAGTATATATACCGTTGCTCATAGCATAAAATATTCCAAAAAATAAAAACTGCATGTCAAATATATTACGAAAAGTATATTGTTGCTCATTTTTTTAGCAGCCCCGATCCATAACCATTAGGATAGTATTTGTTTAATCTTATAATCTCAAACTCTTAAGTACACGAGTGGAGCTTGAACATTGGATATGGAGAAATCTGAAGTGACTTCCTTGTCATTACGCCAACATGCTTCCACAATTTATTTAAATGAATGAAGTGTAGTATTTGATCAAAAAAGTGAATATTCCAAAACAATGAAGACTATATAACTCATACTCCTTCTGTCCCATAAAGTGTTACCCATTTTGACTAAAGTTGAAATTAAGGGAGAGATAATTTTGTGTTGACTTTCCAAAAATACCCTTGATGTGATGAGTAAAAGTAGGATGTGATATGTAGATTATTAGGAAAAAAGTATGATGTGATAGGTAGGGTTTCAAAAAGTAAGGGGTAAAAGTGGTTTTTTAATAGAAATGTGTAAGAGATTGTGGGACACAATTTTTTTGAAACGTTTAAATCTTTTTGGGACGGAGGGAGTATAAATTATGAAAAGCATGTATATTGTTGCTCATAAAATAAAATATACCAAAAAATAAAGACTAATTTAATATATTGCAGGAAGCACATTGTTGCTCGATTTAAATTACTAAATCAAAGTATGCCAACATGCTTCTACGATTTATTTAAGTGAATAAAGTGTAGTATTTGATCAAAAAAAATAAATATTCCAAAACAATAAAGACTATATAATTCATTTAAATTATGAAAAGCATATATATTGTTGTTCATAAAATAAAATATTCCAAAAAATAAAGACTAATTTAAATATATTACGGAAAACATATTGTTGCTCAATTTAAATCAATAAATCAAAGTACATCTTTGTTCACAAAGATTAGTCGAGCAACAATATGTTTTCTTTAAATAATTTAATAAGTAGTGGACATTGCCCTTACATTAATTTATATATCTAGGCGTCATTATTTGTGGTCACTCGGTGTGGGAATGTCTTCTAAACCCATTTCCAAAATCCAGAGTCAGAATTTGACTCCAAAGTCAAAACTATCTTGGGGGTGCAATTGAAAGGGGTGGGAGGCGTGTTCGGGTCGAGGCGGGGTGGGGGGGTTTATCGGGGGGTTAGGGGGTAGGAACCGTCAATTTTACAAACGGGGCACCGGAGCACCCCGGGTCATCCCATGAAACCCCTCCTAATTACAAGAAGCACTCTTCAACAAAAGTTGGAAGGACCATGCTAGGGTGCCACCACATGGGTGCTACCATGGGTGCACTCATGCTTCGCACAGACAAACACAGACGATAATTGTCTGTGCGACACAGACAATTATCGTCTGTGTTTGTCTGTGCGAAGCATGAGTGCACTCATGGTAGCACCCATGTGGTGTCACTCTAGCATTTTCCAAGTTGGAAAATAGCTAATGAACATGACTAGACATGAGAGGACGATTCTAGAAAACATGCCAATAATTCTTTTTTTTTTTTTTTTTGAAACCATGCCAATAATTCTTGGTTTGGTGTACATATCATTTTTATACTCCGGTACTATTAATGACTATAATAACCACTTATGGACTTTTGCATTCATTTTTATCTCTTAAAGTAGTATATACTTGGTCCGTTCCTTAGTGTTTGTCCACTTTTGACTTTTGAAACTGTTCATCTAAGCACTTTGACTCATCAAATTCTCTCAATGTGTAAGCCTAAAAATAGTCATGTGTGATCTTGTTTGATTCGTCTTAACATATAGATTATTAATATATAATTTTTATAATTTTTTAATATACAAATTACAAGATAAAATTGATTAAAAAAGTGCATTGGATGGTGTGCAAAAATGAAAGTGGACAAACACTCAGAGACGGTGGGAGTATTAAAAATGGGTATTGATAGCCACACCCTTAAAACACTATATACAATCTGTCAACTAAATCCACCCCATGGTGCATAATTCTAAAAAAATTGTATAAACTTTATTAATATAGAAAAATATTATATAACTTTTTAAACTATCCAGCATTTATTTCGTTTTATTATTTTTCAAAAAATTAAAAATTTTAAATTTAAAACTTTGGTAATTGTCATTTTAATTTTACAATAATATAATTAACATAACTTTCATTTATTTACATACAGATACCATTTATTTTGAAAAAAACTTTCCATTTTCTAATTAGTATTATACACAGAGGCTAATCCAGGAATCTTGAGCCATGGGGTCCCAATTTAAGTTTTTATTATTCAAATTAAATTTCATTCAAAACTAACAAGTTTAATGTTTTGGTTGAATTGGTTCATTGGCATAATATCAAAATTTTGCTGACCTAGAAGCCACAAGTTCAAATCTTATTACCACCCAATTAAAAAATTATTAATATTCACATGCAAGGCTCGCATAAACAAAATTTGTCTTCTCATTTGGGGGCTTGTTAGAGCATAAACAAAATTCAATTGTTATAAATGATGATTTCTTGTGAAAAGTTTTAAATGAAGAAAATTTAGATCTAATTTTTGTTTGAAAATAACATTTTCACATATTAGTGTTAGTGTTTTAGAACAAAATTAAAGATATAGATTAATTTTAAAAATAGTAAAATCAAACGTTGCTGTTAGATAACCTTTTCAAAATATTAATGCTAAACGCTCAAATTGTTTCCGAACATATTCCTATATATACTTTTTTTGTACATAAGTTTTAAAGATTAGAATCAATAACTTCACTATTCATTAAATGCTTTGTTTTTCTTAGAATGAACAAGCATTGTTGTAAAGGAGAATTTTAATACTGAGGATCATTCAAATTGGTATCCTTTTCACTACAATCAACTTTCTTAAAGCTTAGTTACCAAAATGTAAGTAAATAAAGCATATGATAACAAAAATATAAAATTCATCACCACAACTCAAAGTTTCCGTATTTTGATACTACATATAATTATCCATATTTTGATACTACATATAATTATGCAAATACAAATTTTTAAAAGTTGTTAAAAGGTAAAAATTGTATAATCTGAATATATTTAGAAGAGAAATAAATATTTTGTAAAATAATTCATTTTTAAAAAAGAGAAAGAAAATGGTAAAAAAATTAATTTTGAATGAACATATAAAAAAAAGTGAAAAAACTTTGAGAGGAGGAAATAGGTATAGTTTTATTAACCTACTTAAGATGTGTTTTTTTTTCTTTGCTATGGAGTAATTAAAAAAGAACAGTAAAAAGTCAAAAAAAGAAAAATCACACAAGAGATTTGGAGAAGGGAAGGCTCGAACACGCAACCATCTCACAAATACCTTACGCGTGTGACCACTCCGCACTTGCCTCACGTGCGCAATGTTCTTCTCAAGAGGGTTTTACCTGCATATATCCCTGGGTTCACCTGACATTTAGTTTAAATGTCATGGTATGACATTTTTAATCTCAGCCTTTGGATCTAATAACTTTTAAAAACAATGAACCAGATTTAACTTTGAAGATGTTACCTCACGTAAAATTAACGGAGCCCCCCCACCTACGCCGTCTCTGCTTCTCTCGTCTCCATCTCTTCCGGCGATTCCACTCCTTCCCTGCAATCTCTTCGGCGACCGGCGACGGCTTTCTCCCGGCGCGCTTGCATCTCTCCCGACGAGGTAAGTTCCACACACCCTCTCCTCCACTTTGAGATGGCCCAAATTTCGATCTTTAACCCTAGTTACTTCCCCACACCTTCTCTAGTTCTAATTCAATGCAAGGTTTGACATGCTTTGATTTTGATTTTACGAGCATAAAAAAACTTTTATTTTATGGATGAGGGAACCATCCAAAGTTCAACCCAAATTCGAATTTTTCTAGCCCAAATTGAATATTAACATTCCTTTTCTCTTTACTTTGGCTTTATCTTGAGGTAGCGAGGCACACTATTCTTCAACCTAGAAATGACTAAAATCAATTTGGCTTAATCGAGTTCTTAAATTGGATGTGTCAAATAGAACACTCTAAAAGTGTCAGAATTCAAACTTTTTCTATTAATGCATTATTACTCTTGTTATACAATACAATGATTTTTAAGAAAAGGTCAAAGCATAAAGTGAAATATTCACTCCCTCCCATTAAAATGTTCCAGTTTCTAAATTGTGTTTGTCTCCAATTTTCAGTTTTTCATGTTCTATAATGGTTTTACTTTATTCAAAATATAATTTTCAGTTTTTCATGTTCTATAATGGTTTTCATGTTCTGCATAATTTTTTACATGAAGAGATGAATGAAACAATTTCTATGCATGCCCGAAATTACGCAGTTTACCCACTGGAGAGTATGTATCAGATTGTTCGTTCTTTAAGTGGCTACATGACAAACGTGAAGAGACTAAGGACACTGCCACCATGAGTAGGAATGAGACTGCCAGGGAGTTTCAAGGCCTTATCATGAACTTACAAAGAGAAGTAATAGATGCCAACGTTCGTGAAAGAGAGGTACTGTCCAAGAATGCAATATAGTAGTCAAGAATGCAATATTGGAGTCAAGAATCAGCAAATACAAGAAACGAGAAGTGTTTTACATATTTTGTATTCTCTTGTTGGTAGCAATGTTGTTGTACCAAAATCTTGTGAATTGAATGATCAAAGTAATGAAGTAGATGTTACTATGGATGTAAAATGCACGTTGGACATACTATGCACGGTGGTTGTAGTGTGGAGTTATGTACTTTTTGTATCTTTGATTTATTCCTCGTTTGGTTGTGATTTATATCAAGTGCATGCTCTAGATTTATGTCTTCTGGTTATGCCCAATTGGAGTTGGTTCTAAGAGGAACCAATTCATAGTGCAATTTTGTATGAAAAGCTTGTTACCATTAATGTCCACTTCATAAAGAGTAACACCACTACTGCAGGTAAACCATGGGGTGCAAAAGTGTGATCCAATTTGGCATAAAAATTAAAGTTCTTCAAAATTAGAGATGAAATGACAATTTTATAATAAGAAATGAGTAGTGAAAATAAGCAAATAAAGTGAATAAAGTTTAACCGATACCCGACTCAATCTGATCAGATGTTCGGATAGTAATTGTTAGAATTGACCACTTGCTTCAGATTTATGACTTTTGTCTTATCTAATATAGGCAGTGTTTCGTTCAACTTATTTTTCTGCTTATTACATATTCTTATTATAACTAGACCAGATCAGATAAGATCAGAAACAGTTTTAATTTTAGCTGTAATCATATCAAATGAGACCATACCAGATCAAACCAACTCAGATCAAGCTAGATCAGATCAGATTTTCAAAGAATCAGATCAGACGAACGGAATGCAGCCTATCTGAAAAAGAAAAGTAAAAGAACACTACTAGAATTTCGCACATAAGCTGTGGAAATTTAGAGTGAGATTTTTCCGCCTCTAATTAGCGGGTGTTTGAAATTTTATTTAGTAGGGAATATTTCGGCCTCTAATGTCGTAGCTAATTGAATTAAATTAGGCGAGCATACCCGGGAGAATAATTTAAACATAAAAAGGGTAGTCCAAAAGAAATCTAATCTAAATTTATTTTAAAAATATAATCAAAATAGCTGCAGACTTCGTAAGGAAAAAGAGAGTTTTTTTTTTTACTTTCTAATTCAACGTATAAAACATACATAGTGTAAATATTCCAAAACAATGAAGAGTATAAATCAAATAAATTATGAAAAGCATATATACTGTTGCTCATAGCATAAAAGATTCCAAGAAGTAAAAACTGCATATATTGTTGCTCATTTTTTAGTACTCCCTCTCTCCTATAATGATCTTCCCAGAGCACTATTCCAACTTCACGGGAATTTATATTTATTTGTATTTTTTCATGGCCTATATGATAAAATAAAATATTCTTGTCACCATTTGTTTTGTTGAACTTTTGGTGTATTTTTTAAATATGTATGTTTTATTTTTTATTTCTATACCAATATTTAAATAAAATAGATTGAAAAAACTTGGGATTTTTTTTCGTTTTGCGAACCAGGAAGATCATTATAGGACGGAGGGAGTAGCTCTGATCCATTCACATTGGGATAGAATCTATCATGGGTGGTCCGGAGAGTGTACAAAGTGACTAAACGCACATGGCTTCTAAAATTTTAGGGTTCCATATTTTTAAATTCGGTATTAATTTTAAAGCATAAGTATTCTAAAAAAATTATATATTTGTAAATTTTAGACCGGACCAATTTTGTCTGTATATTGACTAATCGCACATGGCTTCTACATATTTGTAAATTTTAGACCGGGCCAATTTTATTTTTTCATTTTTTGGGCGGGCCCTGGTATTTGTTAAATCTTATAATCTCAATTTCTTAAGTACACGAGTGGAGCCTGAACACTGGATATGGAGAAACCTAGAGTGGCTTCCTTGTCATTATGCCAGCATGCTTCCACAATTTATTTGAAGGGTAATTTACCTAAATCGGACTAAAACATAATGACTTTCTCAATATATGACTATATGTTTTTATTTTCTAATGTAAGACCATTGGTCATTATCTATTAGTCATTATTCAAGTAAATGTTCATCATCACTGAACATTATTCCTCCCACTAGACATTAATAAGTACTATTTAGATAATAAAAATGTTTAAGTCTTACATTGGAAAATTACTTATATTTTAGTCCTATTTAGTGCAAATTTCACTTATTTAAATGAATAAAGTATAGTATTTGATCAGAAAAATAAATATTCCCAAAACAATGAAGACTATATATATAAGCATATAAATTATGAAAAGCATATATATTGTTGCTCATAAAAGAAAATATACCAAAAAATAAAGAGTAATTTAAATATATTGCAGGAAGCACATTATTGTTGCTCGATTTAAATTAATAAATCAAAGTACGCCAACATGCTTCTACGATTTTAATAAATAAAGTGTAGTATATGATCAAAAAAATAAATATTCCAAAACAATGAAGACTATATAATTCATATAAATTATGAAAAGCATATATATTGTTGCTCATAAAATAAAATATTTAAAAAAAAAAGACTAATTTAAATATATTACGGAAAACATATTGTCACTCGATTAAGATCAGTAAACCAAAGTATTTGTTTGTTCACAGAAATTAGCCGAGCCACAATATGTTTCCTGTAATTGATTTAATAAGTATTGGACATTGCCCTTACGTTAATTTATATATCTAGGCGTCATTATTTGTGGTCACTCGGTGTGGGAGTGTCTTCTAAACCCATTTCCAAAATCAACTCTCATTGGAAAGTTTAAATTTCCCCTTAGGTAAACAACCGAAGTTCATTTTTAAGATTTTTAGATGAATTCATTTTTAGGATTATCTTATTAATTTTCCGATTTACAAACAAAATGATTACAAACTTAATAGATTTACTAGATGTTAACTTCAATAAAAAAAGTTAAATAGTCTAAAATAATTTTAAAATGAGAATTTACACCATAGATAGTAAGTTTGTGAAGGCTGAGAGCATTATGTTTGTGAACCTAGCATTGCTCTTTCAGAATTTTTTTTTTGGAATTTGTACTTGTAGCTTCTACATTTTTTTATAGTTTTTAATTTTGTACTCAATTTACTCAACCTTCTTAGTTTATATTCTTTTTGGTTAAAGTGCTTACAAAGTCTCTATATTTTTTCGTAAGTGCTTAAAGGGTCCCTGTATTTTTTAAAATAGAAATTTACATAAAGGTACTAAAATACAGTAAATTTTCCAATGTACCATATATTTTTATTTTCCAATATAGTACCATTGTTCAATATACATTTGTCATTGTTCAAGTAAATGTCTACTACCACTGGGCATTGTTCAAACTAAATATTCATCATCTCTAGGCATTGTTCCCGCCACTAGACATTATTTTAGTACTATTTAGAAAATAAAAAAAGTTTAAGTGCTACATTGAGAAAGAATATATGTTTCCCAAGGCCATGAATTATTTTAAAGGATTACAAGGTCCATATATTCACAACCAAACAAAATTTTCCAATTTAATTTGTTAATCTTACAATGTATTGTTCAATCTAACACCAATGCAAATAAGTGTTTAATACAACCTTTATTTCAAAATCAAATAAAATATAAGACAAACAACAACATTAGAACCAAGAGCCAAATTGTTCATCTCTTCTCCAAATTTGATTTACCCTATGTAGCTAGGAGGATCAGTATAAGTTTGTGCAACAAATTAAAGAAGTACTTGATAGACTTACAAATCGTAAGAGAATCACGTCACACTAAAGTCGAATACATATTCAAATAGGTCAGTATATAAAATCATAACCTATTCCTAGAGGCGAAGACCTATTCGAATATGTCAGCATATAAGGTCCTGACCTATTCCAATAGGCAAAAACCTAGTCGAATAGGTTCTCACATTTGACGCTAATATATTTGAATATGCAAATGCCCATTTGAAATTTTGAATAGGTTAGCCATTTAGTTCCAAATAATAATTTAATTAAACAAGCGTGTATTTCAATAGTTATTACTCCCTTTGTCCCTAAATAAACTCTCCCTTTCGTTTTTTCTTTGTCCCCAAATAAACTTTTCTTTTCCCTTAAAAAACTCTTTTTACCCCTTATTTTTTCATACTATATCTATCACATCATATATTTTTACTAATAATGTACATATCACATCTTACTTTTACAGATCACATCAAGAATATTTTTGGAAAGTCAACACAAAAATATTTCTCCCTTAAATCCTCACAAAGTCAAAAAGGAAAGTTTATTTAGGGACGGAGGGAGTATTATTTAATGTCCAATCACTAAGTAAATCAAATTATCTAAAATAGTCTTATGACACTAAAATCAACAACACCTTATAACACAAAGAGCAAGTATAATCATAAATTCAACATCTTTGGAAGTGTTATTCACCGAGCGAGTATAGAATTTTAACCAAAAGATGAAAGAACTGAGGAAATGTAAGGTGAAAAAATTGAAGAAACGCAAGATGAAAAAAATTGGGGAAAATAGGTGAGTAAATTCTACTATCAATTACTCCGTAATTTTTAAGAATAATTAATATTTTATTAATAAGAATAATAAAATGTCAAATTCATACTATATATGTACGTATTCAAAAAATCGGGGCCCCTCTGAAAATGGTCCGGGTTGGGTGAGTGATCGTCATGCCCATACCCTGAGCCGCACTGGTCTGGCTTTATGATAACCAATGACATTCATCTTATATTAATAGTGGCCGATGATAGTGCGGCAACATATTGCAACGGCAATCGATTGTAGCGTGGTCGACTTCCGATGGCAGTTTGCCAATCTTTGCACCTAATGTATGTGTTTTATGTGGAGAGCGTTGCAAGGTATACTGCCTACTAGCAAAGCTCATATCTCTAGAGGGTGAAAATGGATAATGTTTGACCATTGTTCATGAAGTATGTTGGAAGAATCCGTTAATCCTATCTTTTCCGTCCAAAAAAAGTTTAATTCGACTTGACACAAAATTTAAGTAAAGCGAAAATACGTGGTCAAAAGTAATGTATAGAAGAAAGAAAGATTATGAGTCATTTAACGTTTTCTAAAAGGGAAAAATTGAAACTTTTTTGCGACGTCTCAATAAGGAAATATAAAACTTTTTTTAGACGAAGAGAGTATATTTGATGCCCGACCATTTTTATACGGACCTTATATTATAAGAAGCACTCTTCAACAGAAGTTGGAAAATAGCTAATGAACATGACTAGACATGAGAGGACAATTCTAGAAAACATGCCAATAATTCTTGGGTTGGTGTACATATCATTTTTATACTCCGGTACTATTAATGACTATAATAACCACTTATGGACTTTTGCATCAATTTTTATCTCTTAGAGTAGTACTCTTTCTGTCCGGATTTAAAATTCCCATTGTACACTTTTCTCTGGAAAAGAAGTTCTCATTATACATTTTCATAACCAAATTTTCTAAAATACCCCTTCTTTCTTTTCCTCTTTCCAGCCCTTTTTCGTTTTCCGTTTGTTTTTCTCTCGGCCAGGTACCCTCTCTTTCCCCTCTTTCTCTCTCATTCTCTCTCCTCCTCTCCCCCTTCCTTTTCTTCTCCTCGCTGTCTCCTCCTCCTTTTCCTTCTTCTTCTTGCCTTTCTTTTCTCTCTAAATCTAGCCTTCATCTCCCCCCTCTCCTCCCCCCTTCTTTTCCTTCTTTTTGTCATTTTCTTCTTCTACTAGAGGATTTTTGTTTGTTTTTTCAGATCTAAAATTTTGGAGATCCATTTGTGCGGGAGTTTCCGGCGATGGTGGTGGGGGTTTCCGGAGATG